TAAATGAACATTAGAAATGTTGCCTTGGCAACTAACTGAAATAAAATAAGTTTAATTTAGAAATACTAAAATTACGAAAACTGAAAACTAAAAAACAAAATTGCTAAAATATAAATATTAAACAAAAAATAATTAAAAATACAAAAGCACCTAACAAATTTACTTAAATGTAAACTAAAGTGGAAATGAAAACTGAAAATATAAAAATTAAAGCAAATATTATTAAATATTATAATAGTATATAAATAATAAAAAATTAATCATAGTGTTATTTTAGTATAATTGAGATACTATCATGGTTTTTATTACGGTAATATTTTCAACTTTTTTAGATTTTTCTGCTTTATTTTAATTTTAGTTAAAGTTTTAGTAATTTTGTTGTATGTTGTTGTAATTTTTAATATGTCTATATATTTTATATACATTTTTATTTCAGTTTTAGTTATTTTAATAAATCAAGTTAAACTAAATAAGAATGAGAAATGTTTGTTTTAGCAGAAATAAAATAATTTTTAAATATATTTTGTCAGTTTAAAGCTTATTTTATTTCAAGTAAAAACATTTTTTAATGTTTTCACATTTATTTAACTATAATAACCCTGATTCATATACCAAGATATTTACATCTCTATATTCAAATGTTACCATGGCACTACAATGTCCAAAATAATTGTTTTGTGTGTTTGTGTGTTTACTTTTAAGAAGTTTTGCTAGTTTATTATTATAAATATAGTCCAATTGACAAGGATTATTTGTCTATTTCAAGTAACAGGTGACATGAAATTCTCACATCATTTCTCTGTCACGGCTGTGAGAACACAACTACCCACAATGCATCATGATCGTACCGGAGTTGAGCTCTTTGACCAGTGAAGACATGGTGTTTGTGATGGAGTCTGCTGCCACCAGGAGATCATTTCGCAGGTTTCTGCGAGGTCCTGTAGGAGCCAAACACAAAGAATGTCCAAATTATGACAATGTTTTGTAGGTTTGAGTTAATAAAGGCTAAAAACTTGATAAAATCATTGAATTGTTACACCAACTAACATTTATGAAGTGACATATTTCGAAATATTTTGTCTGTCCACAACAAAATAACACCAAAATAACATTTGATGTTTAATATACAGACTATTTCAGACTAATGAGATGTCAAAATGGGCGGGGCTACCCAGTTCAATCCCCCAACAATCTGAATCATGTGGCCCACAAAAATTCTTGTTGCTCATCAGAAAACCCCCCCGCAATAGTCTCTGTATTTAGTTGTAAATGAAGATGTTACCCTGAGCAAATGCTTCCTGAACATCTCCACCCACTCCAGCTAAAGAGTCCTGGGGCCCGTGGGTGGGGGTGTGGCCTGCGTGTGTGGGGGTGGAGCCTGAGGAAGGAGAGCGAATGGGCATCGGCACAGAACGAGGGGAGGCGTGGCTGGGGGAGGAGCCAGCGGCTTGAGCCTGAAGAGAGAGAATAAAAACTTCATATTGTACAAGATACACCTGCTAAACGTTTCTCCCAGCGCTTAAAACTACGTGTTTGCATGTAAACAGCTATTCACATAAAGAGAGAATTCTCTCTGCGAAACTAAAGCCAAACTCATGAAATAAGGGAGACTGAGAGAAAAATACAGCTAATGGCAAAGAACATTTAAATGATCTAATTATTTAAAATAATTTCTGAAAACAAAACAAGACACCTGTTAATGGAAAACTTATGTCTTAAAATATGTGCTGCTACTAGGGCTGTCAACATTTTTTTCGAATTTCGAATATTCGTCAAATTTAAAATAAAAATCCACATTCGAATGCAAAAACGTTGCATTCGAATTTTAGGTGTGCTTTAAGGAGGCAGCCTTATCAGTGGCGCACGAGATGCGATGACGATGTAAGTGTCATTGCATTTTAATGTTTTTCTTAGCCTATCAAGTTGAAGCCACTAGATGCGGCGCTGCTGTGTTGTTAATGACAAATATTGCGGGAAAAGAGAACATCAATGCGGAGAAGATCTTGTTTACGTCAAAACTGAAACCAAGCCGTTCACACAGAACGCATATTTCGCGCATTTTCTAGAGGGACATCTATCACCATTGCACTCGCGTCTCACACAAAAGAGCCGCATGTTTAGAAAGCCATGTAAAATGAATGTAATATTTTGCTCGATGCGCCCTCTTGTGGCCTCAGGAGAGAAGCCAAAAGCTTTTCATCACCCTAACTGAAATTATGCATTTTAAATTAGAATATAATTCGAATTTTGATCATATTTAAGTACAAAATTCGAATCTAGTTTTTCAGCCATTTTGACAGCCCTAGCTTCTACTACTTTTAACAAGTGAAAAGACGCATTATTATTCTGTGAGAACTTACAGCAGACACTGGAAGTTAAACATCGGGAGGAAAAGAAAGAGATAAATACGTCTAAATGAAAATAAATGAAAAACAATGGAAAATAACTTTCATATAAACAAACGAGAGACACTGAACAATTTTTCTCACATGCACAGAAACTCATACACACACAGCCAGTGCATTTTCTTATCCCCATATTCATGTCCTAATACACTGGCTAAAATATTACAAACACCATTTTTAAAGATGGAAACCATATTAGTTATAGTGTTCTCTCGTAATATTACAAATAAGTGAGCATCAGTGTTATTTTAGTATTATTTATATACTATGATAATATAATTTAATATTTTGAATTAGCTTTTATTTTTATATTTTCAGTTTTTCATTTTAATTTTAGTAATTTTATGTTGTAATTTTTATTAGTTACATTCTTAGTCATTTTTACGTGCTTTTCTTATTTTTATTAATTTCAGTTTTTTTATATTTATAATTAATTTTATATTTATTTCAGTTTTAGATTTAGTAATTTTAGCACTTCAGCTTTAACATATGGCACTATGACCACAAAACCAGTCATAAGGGTCCATTGTTCGAGATTGAGATTGAGAATTGAGAATTTATACATCATCTGAAAGCTGAATAAATAAGCTTTCCATTGATGTATGGTTTGTTAGGATCGGACAATATTTGGCAGAGATACAACTATTTGAAAATCTGGAATCTGAGGGTGCAAAAAAATCAAAAATTGAGAAAATCATCTTTAAAGTTGTCCAAATTAAGTTCTTAGCAATGCATATTACTAATCAAAAATTAAGTTTTAATATATTTACAGTAGCAAATTTACAAAATATTTTCATGGAACATGATCTTTACTTAATATCCTAATGATTTTTGGCATAAAAGAAAAATCAATAATTTTGACCCATA